AGTGTCACATGTAAAGCTTGCTCTAGTTTGACAAAATGCATCCCTTTGCTTTAATCAGTCGCCGAGTAACTGGTGAATTTTAGAGAAAAGTCCATTGGGTAGGTTTAATACTTGTCTATTTAAACTTTGAGAAGACAATTCACTTGCTCCTTCCAAATATAACAGAACATCAAACTGGCTGCACAGAGGCCAGGGAGCTGAGAGGGTATGCACCATCCAGATTATTGGATTCATACAGCTGTAAGCCCCTTGCTTAACCGGGCTTGTACAAACGGGATCAGTTCCTTGATCTGCCTGAAAGGGAATTTTTCAGCTGTCACTCGGAGCCAGATACTTCTTTTCTGCTGGTCTGCTCTGAAAGATATTTATAATTTGTTTGTGATTTATTGAAATTTGCCTGGCTGTAGAGGAGCAGTATCTCATAAGCTTCAGTCCTTCTAAGTCTCTCCAGCTTGCTCCATTCTCTTTGTGAAACTGCTTTCCTATGAGACGGCTCTGGGAGTGCGTGGTCTCCTCTGAAGGTTTTTAAAATGGCAATGTGATGCCATGCACAGCTTATTCCATCATTTTCTTTATTAAGACACTTAGAGGTTGCAACAGGTGGTGCGGGTGTACAAAGAAAGGCAGAAATCTCTGGGTATGTGTGCTCCTGTTGGATAAATTTGCTGGGAACAGTGGCTAAAGCCAAGGTTCTAGAAATTTAGTCTCAAAAGTTAATGCCATTGAAAGGTATTTTTAACTGAAACCAAAGTCGTCTTCTTTTTTTTTTTTTAAATGTAATTAATACCCACATGAAAAATAAAATGTAATTATTCAAGCAATTTTTATACATCAATAATCTTTCTAAATACACATGAACAGTCCAAAATTGAAATATGTATCAATTTCTTATATCTACATGTTATACCCATTATTGACCAGCTTCTTCAGGCATTGGGAACAGATCATACCTTCTTAAATTATAAAGTAACTGCTCAATCTGTTTCTTCCATTTTGTTTTCTGTTCCCAGTCACTCCCCTTTTTCACTTCATCTTTTTGCTATGCCTGTCAATCAGAAGTCTTGTTTGTTTCTCACACTTGATGACTTGGAGATTGGTGTCAGTAATTCCAGCAGTGATAACGTTCTGGGTCAGGTAGCTGTCAATAGGAACAAGGAGAAGACTGACAGCAGCGTTGGTGGGTTGACTGTTTTTTGAGTTGTTCCATGAGGGTGCATCAAGAAAATAGAACACTGTTTTGACTTAATATGCTTTTGTAGAGGACATCCTGATTTTGCATTACACAAGAGAAGACATGCTCTCAAGTCTTTCCTAGGCAATACGTCAATGTATAGACAATATATAAGTCCGTGGGATATAGGGACTCTAACAAGTCCGTGGCTTGTTAGACTTTCAGGTCTTAGGGTGGTTTAAGGCCACATCTGATGCTGTCTGTACAGATAAAGACTGTTGTTTCATGATTTTTGATTGTTGTTATTTTGACATCAGAATATATAACTACAAACCTAGCAAGCTAAAACAAAATAAACAGTGATCACAGCTCTGGTGGTCAGAATTATTAAATTCCAGGTGATGGCTGGGAGGGATGATTGCTTTTGGATGTTCTAGCGGAGGGACCATCTTATTCCTTCTTCCTGCTTCTAGAATAGAGGCTTTACCTTTCTTCCATCTTTAGGGACTGTATTTGCACCTAGAACGTCTGTTTCCTCAACATATCTCTTCTTCCTCTGAAATTCTGCTTCGGTTTTGTGAGGACCATTGTGGTTACATAGACAATCTTCCCATTTTAATGTTCTTAACTTCTACAAATGTTTTGCCACTCATAGGTTTTGGAGCTTGGGGCATGCATCTCTCTCTCTCTCTCTCTCTCTCTCTCTCTCTCTCTCTCTCTCTGTTTTGTATGCATGTGCACAGTATTATTCTTTCCATCATAGCCCTGATCATCAACCACCTGCTTGCCTTTTACTATTACTGATATGAGCCACAGGCAAAGTGGAGTGAGCAGAACCATAGAATTTTTAGAGTGACTTTAACCCAGTCTTGTATCTTTCTCCACGTAGAAGTCAAAGCAACAATGCTCTGTCAACTCCATAGAACAACGTGGGTTCAGACCACAGAGTCTTACTGATCCATGCAGAGAATCTTCTGGGTCTTGAAATCTTAGTGCTAATGGCTGGTACATTTCTGAGATAGCATGCCCACCAAAGACATAAAGCAAATCTAATCCTCTGGATAAAGGTCTCAAATCCACTGAATTCCAACCCTATTACTCCACTGAGATATGATCATTCTAAGAGCTTAGGAGAGATGCTGAAGGATGGCCTTCCACTGAACACATCATCCACATGAACCGTGTGCCCTACTGTTGGCATTGAAATGGAAAACGACTTTTGTGTTTGTCTGAACCGAAATATCTTTATTCTCTTTGCACATTTCTAGAAACAGCATAAGCAATAAGTTTGGTGAGATGGCAAGTGCCAGGTGGGGTCATCTAAGACATTAGATGTGACAGCCTTCACTGAAGGAATTTAGGGAAGCATGGAGAGGAGGGTGAGAAGTCAGGGTAACTCTTACTCAGGAAAACTGAGAATGAGCACAACTTGGAGGAATGTGTAGGTTAAGTTGTAATTGCTAGTAAAATGTGCACGTCAAATGGTTGGCTGTATGATTCTGAGGCTCGGGAGGTTTGGGTTTGGTATATACATTTATTACTCACCAGCTAAAATATGGTGATCAGGAATTCTTCCAGGGAGAGTATAGTTAGGTGAAAAGATAGCATAATTCAGTGAGTTAGAAAACATTGAAAGGACTGGCCAAGCCAAGTTTTGCAAAACAACACTACCTCCCACCAAACAAACACACTAAGCAATGGAGGTTAAATGGAATATGGAAAGAGTAGACATACTCAAAATTTTGGCTAGAGCTATAACTCAAGGGTAGAGAGCAGACTTAGCCTGGATCAATCCCCAACACACACACACACACACACACACACACACACACACACACACCCACCCACCCACTGAGTTCATTTAGTGTTTCTCATATGTATATGTATTTGGAGATGCCTGAGTGGGGACTGGTCCCTGAAGAAAACTGATTCTGCTTCATCAGCCATTGATTGCCAATATCTTGTGCAAGCTCCTCCATCCAGGTTGGCATGTCGACTGGTGCTGTTATGCAGGTCTTGAGATCTTGTTTAGGCCACCACTTGTTGAGATTTCATAGGTTCAGCCTCCCTGCCATGTCTAGAACAGTCTTTAGCTGCTGTCCTCTGTCTTTATCCTGCTCTCCGTTGGCACTATCAGTTTGCATACATGAGAAGGCGCTGCTCGGTGCAGTATTTTGTTCATTGACTACAGTAGTGAGCAACTAGTTGAGGTTAGCGTGGTTAAATTAGGAAAAGCAGGTAGAGTTTCTTAAGACCAGAAGGAGATAAGGAAGATCTTTTGGAGGAAGAATTAGAGTTATTATTATTATTATTTATTATTTTTTCCTGAAGTCAATTGGATACAAAATGCTACTTGTTATCAATTTTTTTTTGGGGGGGGGAAATCCCATTAGAGACTTTGCATTTTGATCCAGAGGGAATAGCAAGCTGAGAGTGAAGGAAGAGGAAAAATTGACTTCATTCCTCAGCTTTCTTAAATCCTGAGAAATGCGTGCCTCAAGCACTCCCCCTTTCAATTCCACAAAACAGGGAATCAGGAAAACACATTAGCACCCTAGTCCAGAGTAGGAGCCCAGAGCTGGGGGGAAACAGCATCAAGACAAGAGGAAACGGGGGAGGGGCGAGAAAACTTCCCCCGACGCTTGGAGAATCTGCTGCAAGGCGTGGGAAGGACGGGAAGTGGGGAAGGTACCCTGCAGACGTCAGCCAGACACTTTGCCTCTGGGCATGTGGGAAAGAACGGCAGGAGGAGGGAAAACATCGCACTAGGGCTAGATGGAGGAGCTCCTGTGGCTGCTTTTGAGGGAGGATCTGCAGAACTGCAGCGTTCTGCTCCAGGAGGCCGTTCCTCCATTTTTAAACCCAAATAAAGAGGGGGCGCTGGGCTAAGCCCGAATAAGTCACTAGGCGCAGCAGACCTCGTTTTGGCCTCTGGCTAAGGCCAGAGAGGTGGCCTTAGGGGACGCTGAAGTTACACTGTGGCTGGAGGGGAAGGGTCTCCAAGCTCCTCTCCAATCAGGGTGCTGCTGAAGCTGTTTGCATACATTATGCTAATAGGGACCTCCCGCTCCGCTCCCACCCGCGCTCCCGCCCTCTCGTGGGTCCAGGCGGGCTGGGCGAAGGTGAATATATTATGCTAATAAGGAGGCTCCTGAGAGAGGGGGCGGGCCGTGCTTGAGGCGCGCGCGCACTGTCGCACACGCGAGCATCCCGGGGTATTTAAGGCTCGCACAAGCGAGGCTGCGGAGCTACTTCTGGGGCTTCTCGGCTCGCGATTGCTGCTTGGGTCGTTCGGTTCTCCTCTCTCCACTATCCCTCTGCCACCCCACGGGTGCCGTGCTTTCGCCGCGTCTCTCTGCATTTCTTTTTCTTTTTGGCCTTGAACTGGTCCAGGTGGGAGACAGGTCTGCGTGTAGAAATCCCCGGAATAGGTAGAGATAGGCAGGCAGACGCAACAGGTCGGAGCAGGGAGAGGGGCCGGTGGACCCTGCGCCTCCGCGCGGGGGACCACTAAGGTGGTGTCGGATCTCGGAGGGTCAGAAAAGCTACCCTGGTGGGTTTGATTTCGGCTGTGACCCCTGGCGCCACACAGCCCCCGGCCGGAGGGTGCTTTTCACTTCCATCTGGAAGGGGAGAAAATCAGGATGGTCCACGCCTGCTGATCCGGACGCCGAGCCAAGCTCAGGTCCATCTCCGAGCAGGGGCTCCGACTCCAACTAGTTGTGCAGCCGCAGGGACTGAACTTTGGAGGAACCAGCCCTTCCTCTCCTAAGATTATTGGAGGGGGCAGAGGGTGGACGGCGTAGCTGAGGCCGGCGACCCTGCCACGATGTTGGTGAAGAAGCTTGCAGGGAAAGGAGGGGGACGAGAACCTGCATCAGAAGATCCGCGCCCCTTGGGACAGCGTTGTGCTGGCACCATGGCCTCATGCGCAGCCCTGGCGACCTTCCTGTCAGTGGTTGCTGTGGTTTTTTGTTTGTATCTTGGGGTGAAAACCAACGACCTCCAGGCGAGGATTGCAGCTCTTGAATCTGCTAAAGGGATCCCTTCTTTTCGTCCTCTGCCTGACACCCTGGATGAGCTGAAGGCTGTGGTTCAGGAGAAAGTGGAGCGTCTCTTGGCTCAGGTGTGAAAGGCTGGGGTATTTTGCACGTGGATACTGTTTGGCACAGGTGTGAGTCCTGCGTGCAGGGCTAACTTCAACCCTTACTGTCTGCACAGCTGGCTTGAGTGTGGGTGCCGAGTATGGGTATTGTAGCGGAAATCTCCTTTACCCTTCCGCACTTCTTGCATGCTGAACATACATGGAGGTTTAACTGAGGGAAGGGTGGCCTGGATAGTGGGAGTGTGGGGATGAGCATTTCATTTCTTTTAGATTTCTAGAGTCTCTTGTGATCTCTCAGTTCTACAGAGAATATTCATTATAGACACAAGATCTCACAGGTGTTACTAATATACAAAAGGTTTCAAGTGAAACAATTCTATATAGGTTCATGAATTTCACCCTTCAAATCTTTTCAAGTTCAAACACTTACAAAAAAGTTTTATATTTGGCAAAGACTGCTGTGTAGGTATTGATGAACATAGAGCCATTGAAGTTGAAAGAATCACATTATCTTCAAGGTTGGTTTCAACTCGAGTTGGGGGCTTTTTGGGGGGGCATTTACTTCGATAGAGAGGCTGGTTAGCAGTTGCTGTTCACATGTGAACAATTGACCACTGTGTCTTTAGGCTTATGCACTGACTGCCTATACTTGGGCTGAAGGAGAGGAGTGGTGGTAATAGAAGACACGAGAAAGATATTAGCCAAACCCTGCAACCCTGCTACCACGTCAGTGGTCATTGTCTTATTTTAGGACTTGGATTCTGTTACTTTTTGACTAGAGTCCAAGTACATATGTAAATACTCCTTATGCAAGCTATCGAATGCTGGTAAATCAGGCGTGTAGCCAGAGAGCCCCTGAGAGTCCAGTTCTCCTCAGTGCTACTGACGATTCTGTTAATACCTCTGCTTTTCCTACAGAGATCCTATGAACACATGGCTAAAATAAGAATCGCAAGAGAGGCACCTTCAGAGTGCAACTGCCCAGCAGGTAAAATAGACCTCATTTAACAACATTTCCTCCATAGCAGAACACACACACACACACACACACACACACAACACACACACGTGCTCGGTCTCGTGCTGTCAAGTCCACCTGTAATAATAGTACAGAAAGAATGCAGGCCCAACTTGCTTTAATAAAACCCAACATGCTTCAGTTCAAAAGATGGCCAAAAAACCAAAACCCTAAATATTATGTCATGCAGGATACTAAGGTCTACTATGGGAAATCGAGGAAGCTAGAGATGACCACCATGGATAATATAGGCAAGATGATTTACAAAGACAGAGTTCTTAGAATCACAGACAGAAAGCCTTTCTTGATCTTATTAAATAATATCATTTTGTGTGTGTGTGTGTGTGCGCGCGCGCGCACGCGCGCGTGTTTGTGACAATGACAGTTGAACTCTTGATTCTGAATTCTCTGGTGTCTAATGCTACATCAGTGCATGTATGCTGCCTGCCTTTGGTATATATAGCTCTACATATAAATCACTTGGACTTCCTCACCAGCTTGTATTCTGTCTTATCAAAGAGGCTCCTTCTCCTGCCCCACAGCAGAAGACAAGACTAAGGATACTCTTATCTTGAACTCACAAACTACCTCATTCTCAGTGATGTCTCTGGACAGGTTGTTATATTTTTACTGTTTTTGTGTACAGTTTTAGAGCAGTGCCCAAGAGAATGGAGACGAGAGACATCAATGAGTAGTACCCCCACACCCCATCCAGCCAGGGTAATTGTAACTTTCCCTTCACAGATTTCTGAGACTCCATATTTATCTACAGATTAGCAATTTAGAAGATCTTCCATGATGGTCATAAAACCCCATGAATGTTAATTGTTTTCAGATAAACACTGTAATGCATTTATGAACATTTAGTTTCTTTTATCCCTCATACGAAGCGATCGATTCCTTTACATTTTATTTAGGTTCAAGAATATGATACTTAGTATTTATGTAGTTAGGTGTTGCATAGTTGCATTTGGTAAAGGACTGATCACACTGTGTACGATAGAGGTCTGGTAATATTACATCATTTATGGATATTACAGTCATCTCAGTTTGGGAAGTAAAGTATATGAAATTGTCTAACAACACAATTCTTCCTGTTAGGTGGCACATGACTGTGTGTGATGTACATGCATGTGTTTGTCTATGTATGTCCATGTTGGAATGCACATGCCAATGGTCATGTGTGTACAATAGCACTTGTGTGGAAGTCAGAAGATAACTTGCAGGAGTTAGCTTTGTAATTTCACCAGGTGGATCAGAGGGAACAAAGCCAGGTCATTAGGCTTAGTGACAAGTGCCTTTACTTACTGAGCCATCCCATTGGCCCTTTAGCACAACGATTTACACATCCAATTACATTGTTCATCATATAGGAACTAAATTTTTTTTCAATGAAAGGCTTTTGATTAGGAAGACACTCCTGGAATGATGGCCAAGGCCTCTTATTCCAGCTATGTGGAGGTGGAGGCAGGAGGACTGCAAGTTTAGTGCCTGCCTGGGCTACAGCTTATGAACAGTCTTAAAATCAAAAGGTTAAAAAAAGTTTGGAGATCTTGATGTAGCTCAGTTTTAGAACACTAGCCTAGCATGCGTGAGATCCTAGGTCTAACTGCTCAGTACACAGGGAAAATAAATATATGTGAATATTTGAAAGCTTGTAAGTGAAAATATGTTTTATGTGTGAATATTTGAAACTTTTTTGAATATTTGAAAATTTATATGTGAAAATATATAAGTGACTATTTGGCAATTTAAGTTACCTCTTCTGTTAAAGAACATCAAGAAGGAGTCAGTATTTGAACATGTAGCTTTTGTTCTTTGCTCTCTTGAGTTGGACTGACCTCACAGCTCAGATATTTAAGGAAGTCACATATCCAGCACAGGGTTAAACACATAATCACCTCATCACCTCTTGGGATTATTTGAATTCTAGGATACCCAGTACTGAGAGTCCCTGACCACATCCCTTAGAGTTCAGTACTTTTGGCCTGCAATGCTTTTGTTAACTGTATGTAAAGCACTTAGTGTTTAATTCATTGGATTCTTATTGAATTTGGTAAAAAGTTGAAAAGCAACCTCTACTGCTCTGGATTCTATTTTCTGTGAAGACATCACCATGCATGATGTTTAATATAACCTAATTACCACTTGATCTGGAAGAAAGCTATCACCTTTAGAGTTGGGCTTGTTATCTTGGAAGTTTACACTGGAGTGTTTTTCATTATAACATGACAATCTAAATGGGATTTCCTTGGCTTTTATTTTTTTTTGGGTTTGGTTCTCTGTAACAGCTGCTTTACCTCCTCATCACCACTAGAGTCCCACATCACATCAGTTTTTACCTGGCTTCTTGAGCAGTAACTCCTGAAAGGTGTACCTTCTGGAAACACGTCCTTCTGCTTGGGTAATAATCAGGCATTCTAAAAATAAAGACACTATATCCTGGAGAGAATGATTTTCTTAGGAATAAGATGGCCAGCCACAGATTAGAAGGGGATAGAGCACTTCCCACCTGGGGTGGCTCTAGCTATGGTTGACAGTGACTAAGAGTTGTCACAAAGACATCTGTTTGCAGGACAGTGCTGGACAAGTCTGTGACCTCAACTCAGTTCCTGTGGACAGATGCCCACCCCTTGAAGTTGACACTCTTGTTGACAGTCTCAGTAACAGAGCCAAAGGCTCATAGCAGAAAAGTAATGCGCTGGTGTTTGTGTTCACTCTAAGTGCTCTCGATAGACCACAGTTCCTGATGGGTTTGTCCAGGGAGGGTGTAAGGAAATAATAACATTTATAGTTTGTGTGTTTTTCAGTTTTATATTTTCATAGGAAGGGGTGTCTTGGGAGAAGGATGAGCTATCTATTGAGTAGTTTCTTAATATAAGAGATGTACTCTCTAATTTTCATAACAACTTGGAGAATTAACTCCTAATGCTCTACTTTTATAGATGAGGAAGCTGGAACTCAAGAAAATAGGGTCCTGAGTGTCCAGGACCTAATGAGGAGTAGAGAATGAAGATTTAGAGGAGAGTACCTCTGGGCTGGAATTCTGGATCTGCTACTAATAATGTGTGACCTTGGTTGAACAACAAACACACAGAGGGAGAGGGAGAGGGAGAGAGGGAGAAGGAGAGAGGGAGAGGGAGAGGGAGAAGGAGAGGGAGAGGGAGAGGGAGTCCCAGAAAAGGCTTTCTCATAGGGTGATGGTCTTTGTAAACAGTCTGTTGTTTTAGCGCGTGTGTGCTAAGTTGTAGTTGCTATCTTCTACCTTTTTGCCTCCTCGATGCTCTACAAACACTTCAGCACTAAACTACACTACTGAGCCAGACTCTTAAACCAGTTTTTTTTTCTTGCTATTTAACTCTAGTGCACAGAGTTCCATGATAAAAGGTGGGAAAAGACTCTTTGAGATGCTTGCTCGGAGCCCAGTGTCTAATTAATGGCAAACCTGGTAGTACAACTGTGTTTACTTGAGCAGATATGTATATAGATTGTCCACATAGATAATCATTCTAGAGTTCCTCTTGTGGCTCCAGTTTTGTTCTTTACACACATTTACAATAGTCTCAAGTTATTTTTTTTTTTATCAACATTACAGGGAGAACTCTGGACATTTTAGGTGGTGTGACTAAAGTAGATGGAGTCTGGGCTTACTTGAGCATGGGATAGTTAAAAGTATCTTTGTACTTTCCATATCAGATATTTATAGATAGCCTACCTGTCTGACTCATTTTCAGACTTACTTTTAGTAGCTTTAGTGAGGTATAATTTATATTTTTTACCCATTTTAAGGTTTGTAATAAATTTATATTTGGGCTGCCATCCACTGTAGTCTAGTTTTAGATAATTTTTGTCTCCTGACAGCTTACATTTACTTCATTGTGAGCTCAAGAGAAGCTTTATTTTAGAAAAGTTTTGCTTTGGAGAAACTCCAGAATGCTGAACAACAACAAAAACTTAGACATCAAAGCTCTTTTTAGCAGAGCACTTGACTTAGCAGTAGCAGGGCCTGGGAGATACAGCTGGTAATTGGGGTTTGACCTCTATAAAGCTTGACCTTCAGATGAGGGAATAAGTTAGCTCAGTCTGTGGATAGAATTTTGTCCTGGGTTCTCTCCTGGTGCCTTACATAAAACTGTGTATAAATCAGCCATGTTTGTGGAAGGGCTTCTGTGTAGAGGCTGATGGAGAATGGTGGGAACCAGGTAGTCAAAACAGACCATTATGTATTTTCTGACATCCCTGAATATGTTTCACCCCCATGGAAATGATTATATATGAAGCACGAGGGTGTGTAAGTAATTGAAGAACCTCACATTATTAGCTGTGAGTGATTTAGGCACAGGTATCTTGGCTGAAGGATATTTCTCATGGTTTCAGAAGAGCCCTTAGAGTACCTTTCTTATATAAAGCACAGAAAACTATTTCTTACTAATATTTTACTTAGGCTACATCTTCATTTATTTTTAAAGAGGCCGTGAAACAAATGTTGTACATCAAGTAAGGGAATCATAATGTATAGGTCTTAGTTATATTAAGGAGCATTAGAAGCAGTTTGTAGACTATGAATGCAAATGCTTAAATATTATTTAATGAGAATGACAGGCATTCTTGTAAGACTAAACACTGTGTGACATGCCAGTACCTCCAGGCATTCATGCTAAATTGTTTTGGTTCTATTGAGAACAACAGTTTGGGTGTGGCATTTTCAGTTGGTCTAGTAGTGACAGCTGGCAAAATGCCCCAGTCCAAGGACCAAGGACAAATTGCCTCTTGAAGCAGTGCTCTTGAGTTTAACTTCTTGTTTGCTGCTCTTGTCTGTAAATTAGGAGGCTGTAAATTATTTTTCTTAGCAATGCCTGCTTTGATGAGCTGGGGGTTATCGGAGAGAAAGCTATCGATTCTTCATGGAGTTCAATTCACTCTTGATCATTCCAGCGAGAATGTGTAGGAACAACTCCTCTCAGGGCTGT